TGAGAAAGCTACTATAAACATGTTAAATGTAATAAAGATATAAAATGAACTAACCATTTCAAACGAGCTCATTGATGAGATGATTGTAGAAGTTTATTCCTGCCTGAGTAATTCCTCCAGCAATCCTACCTCCTAAATTGGACCAACATTAGTATCACTAATTAACTTGTCATTGGCATCACTTTATCTATAAAAAAAAAATTGATGGATATTATGCCACTTTTAACGAGTAAATATACAACGACTTTTTAATGGTTACGGAATCATACGAGGAAGTATCCTTGGCCAAGAAATAGAAAACCTAAGTGAGTCCAGACCAATTTCTTTCATAAGTGCCACGTCCTCCTGACCAATCAGCCAAAATTATGTTAGACCTATAATAATTTTCAAAAGGAAAATATTATTGTGGGTTGCTTTTAAAAAAACAAACCTTGAAACGGTAATAAAATTCGTCTGCGACGTCGCCATTGCTGCCATCAAAAATCTTTTCTGTAGTCACAAATTTAATTGTATTTATCTAAGCAACTTAATTGTATTTATTAGCATTGTAATTAAGAGTTTAATTGTATTCAAACACATCGTTTGAGTTTGACAATCAAAGAAAAATTAACATAATATTAAAACCATTTGAAATTAATAAAAAAAAAAAACATGGACGAAAACATCAACTTTAAACAATGTATTATTTCCTTTCGCATTTCTGTTTGCATTTCTTTAATATATTTTTTTTGAATCTTACCTGTTTGCATTTCACATTTGAAAGTTAATCATAACGTAAACGCACCAAATTACTATCAAAATATGTATACAAAGCTAATATCTAATTAGGACTAGTGAAACAATTAAGAACCTGGATGTTGTTTAGCAAACGTATCCCATATGCTTGGTCCTCTTCCATCAATATTGGTTGCTCCTTCACTCTATATATAGAAATTGAAAATTCTAAATAACATTTGACTCTAAATTCCGGTTATATAAAGAACCGATTATACAAGAAACATTTACCTGGTAAGCACTCGAAGCTGCGCCAAACCAAAAATCTTGAGGAAAGCTATTTCGATGGAGAGAGGTTGAAGAACGAAGAAGAAACGAAGGATCCAAAGCATAAAGTTT